CATGATCATCTACCAAAACATACCAAAAAAAGTTCTGTGTTTGTGTTTTTGTCTGTGCTGCGTCTCACTATAGGTTGAATCTAATGTTTGAAACCAAGTTTTCAGGGGATTTAAAATTCACCCAACACATCTCTTAATCCAGGAATTTATCAAAACAGGTGATTTCTTCATCTTAGCCACATTCAAGCATCAGTATTCATCTAGAGCTGAAACAAATAGCTGATCTGTTGATCGATTTTTGATAACTAAGGACAACAAAAATGAGAAAAGAAATGCACTGGTTTTAGCTTCTGAAATGTTTGCAACTTATATCAGTCTTCTTAAACAGTACATTGAGTGCTTTTGTGTTTTGGAACAAAGGTAAAGGTACCAAGGTAAGGGACTGTACAGTGATATCCAATGCCAATCTGGCGCCCCCACCTTCCAAATAATAGCAAGGGTAGCTTTAACCTAACAATAACCTTAAGCATTGTGGGCTTTTGAACTTCTGAACAACTTTAAAATATTATTACCCAGCACAATAAAAAATCCTTTATTTGAAAAATTCTGTAAACTCTAAGAGCTTGATAATTCTGTAATCACTCTTGTCATGAAGGAAGCTTCCAGCTGGGGAGCTGAAAAGTGATCTCTCAGTTGAAGTGTCTCAATCTATCGTGATTGACTGCTTACTCCTCTCCAATCCATTCCATAGAGATTTATGGCCGAGTCGAGTGGACTGGCTGCCAGGCAATTACTGTCAAGTGGATCCTACTGCACCTCTTTGTCACTCTAATACTACAAATTTGGTTCTCATTAGATGAATGTCAAATGGAATTAAGGCCTTCATTTATTTTGTAGGACACCATCCGGCACCTCCTAAGCTATCTCTGGCAACTTCTTTTCCCATAGCTGTTGGTCCGTTCACCTGTTTTGGCATGACAAAACAGCCAAGGTACAAGTAGGAAATAACGTTCATGGAATGCCCGAGTTAAGAAAACTGAACAGGAGTGAACCAAAGTGTAGGAGGAGAACGCAGAATACAAATTAAAGGATTAAAATCTAAGTGTATAATTCTTCTCATTACCATGTCTGTCACACCGGGAGATGTGATGAGTCATTGGCAGAAGTTGACGAGGAAGTTAGAGACAGGAAGCGGACTTACTGTATCCAAGGGGATTACGTGTCTCCGCATCATAGCTGAGGAGCATGACCTACAGCTAGGCCTATCAATGAAGTGTGTGCCTGTCTTCCACTGAAACCCCAACAAAAATGTCAATACTTTTGATATCCTGACAACTACAGCATAAACAGCCATACCATGGAGCTTAATTATGATCTTTAATCCCTGTCAAATGGCAATCCCCTCTGGCTTGTTGAGCCATTCACAGAGAGAGACAGCAGGCCACAAGAAAGAGACCAGTCTGGACAGTGATGTGCCCCCGTGAGAGACGCAGAACTAATGACTGGGTTTAGTGTTTGAGTGTGAAAGAAAATGTAGAGTGTGTGTGTGTGTGTGTGTGTGTGTGTGTGAGAGACATTAGCCAGTGCCTCATATAACGGTGAAGACTGGAATAAATACACCTACAAGCACATGACACAAGCACCAATAAACTGGGAGGAACATTACAAGCGGTTGTTTGTGCTGAGAGCTGAGAGGCATGTAATCATTGGCACACAGCCGGAGAAGAGAAGGAGGCGATGGGACAAACGGATAAAACGGAAGGAGGAAAAGTATGGGAAGAAATGAGAGCAATGAGAGAGAGAAAGTGAGAAAAAATAGCTGACTGATTGAAAGAGTAAATACTGGTGGTTTGAGTATTAAGAGAAGTAAAAAAGGAGGATTAACCAGAGGTAGCCTTCATTGCAAATGTTTACCTGTGGCAGCTCTCTTCACAATGTTGCCTGCGGCAGTGGCTCTCAACAGCTGTCACAGCTGAACTTTCTGGCAGCGAACATTTTGGCCACAGATGGGGATTGTGGCATTATTCTGATATGGCACTTTCATATAACCTGCCCCCAAGCAACATCACCAAAGGACTAGAATTGTTTTGAGCAAGGATTTCAAGTAAAAGTATTCAGTTCAGAGCTTCACGTTCAGGTAAAGATGACACATTTGAACTTGAAACTGGTGTTGATGACAGCGTATGTGATTAAACATTATGTAACAAGTGTTTTGTGGAAAACGTTGAATAATTGAACAAGGCAATTACAACTCTGCCACTCTCAGAAGTTTCTCCCTAACCTCACAACCTTCCAAACACTCGCAATGAAAAATGCAAAGTCAAAAGTGAGTGAACTCAAAATGGAAACTGTCAAACACAGACAAGCGAAAGGGTTTCAGAAAGGTAATCAAGAGTAACGGAGGCAGAGAAATAGAACATAAACAAAGGGATGATCTTTTACTTTCCCCCCCGGAGCTCCTTATTTAAGCTGAAGCCACTCTGTACCTGAGACAAGATGAGATGGAATCTCGCTGCCGTTCATATGGGACCCGGAGTCATTACCAGCACATTGGTTTTGAAATCAAACAGTTGCGACGGCAGATCAGGGGAACAAAACCACAAGGATTTGGTCGCTCAATTGAAATGCAGTGTGCAATTAACTTTATAATCTGTTTACAAATGAGGTTTACCCTGCTGCAATCTCTGGAGTGTGTGTATTCGTATGCAGGTGGGGAAGTGTGTTTGTGTACACAATGGGAATACATCAAGTCAGCTATATTTTAAAAAAGGGGATTTATAATCCATGTGCCCACACTTCCAATGAAACTGGATCTAAATTGTTATAATTGACAATAAGCAAATAGCAACTTCTTTTTTCAAACATGTATATATATTAAATATGTATTAATACTTTTAAAGGAAAGTGTGTATCCGCAAGATTTCTGTGTGCAGATCATGATGTGAAACAAAGAAGGGCAGAAAGAGAGCGAGAGAGGCGAGGGGGGAAAAAAGGGAGTGCTGTGTTAGTTTGGAAAATAGGACATTTTTCCAGCACTGAATGATTTATTGAGATGAGCTAAAATAGTTTTGCATATGGTAAAGGCTAAAACTAAAGACTAAAAGCATTTGCCAATACATTAGATTAAGGATGGGTATATTTACAAAGCCTGAGTCTGTGCCCTCTCTCTGAGGTGGTTTCCCTCTGAGCCTGTGATGGCCACAGGCACGTGTTAAAGGTTTTGCATCGTTTTGTCTCTTGAGAGACAAAAAAACCCCACACACATTTCAGTGCATCACACTCTCCTGTTCTTTATCTCCACCCAGCCTGTCCATTTGTCCATGCGATCAGGTGAACAGTTCAGAGGACAGATATGATGTCCACAGAAGGCAGCTGAGCACCGAGCTTGTCTGACATTTGAAAGTGGCTCACAACACAGACACAAAATTACTGGCGTGTAAATAGTTGCTATAGTCCCCCCTGAGGGAAGAAAACGTGTCGCTGCATCACACTGCTTAATGCAATTTAAAGTTTTAATCATTTGTTATTCTGTTTTCTTCCCTCTGCCTTACTGCATTATTTTGCTTTAGATTTCTCCCTCTCCTGAAATGTTAAGCTATAAACATGACTGCCATGTAGCCAGCATTGTTATCACAGTGAAATGTCATTGTGCTGCGGTGTCAAATAATTGCTTTGTTTTAAAACGGTGCTTTGCATGCTGTATGCACCTTACCATGGAAAAGTGCTGATTATATCTTCATGCAAAGAAGAAACGCTGGTTGGAAAACAATTCACTCTGTTCACCTTACTTCACATTCTGATGGGATACACATTAAAAATGATGGTTGCCATGGCGGCTTGTCACTGGCCTTGACAGGTAGCCGTTAACATGACTCAGCTGAAATCAATAATCAAGTTACTGCCAGCTCTTTTCTTTAAAAAAATGGCACATTAGTTTGTCCTGTAGTCTGGTGTGTGGTGTTACGTCAATGTACAGATGAAATTAGAAATGATATTCGACAGTAAGCCCCCCCAAGTTCTCTGCAAATGAAAAATGAAATAACATTATTCAGGATCTCACCATGGGAAAAGAATACATTTTCTTTTTCATTTCCACAGCTGATAGAGTATTGTAGTAGAGTCACAGATTGCGACATAGAATACAAATCTAATTAAACTATGAAAAAGCAATATTGGCCACTTTATTTTCCCAATAAAGCAGCTCTGGGCTTTATATTTGTCTGAAACAAAAGCTGAGCTAATGTCTGGTTTATTGAGCTTCACAACTGGACATTTCTGTCTTAACAATGCACAAGACAGACCGTCTTTAGTGTCCACCTTTGAATCCAAGGCAGAATGACTAAAATATAAGTTCAGTGAGCCATTCACTCACACTTATAATACTATAATTAGACTTGAGGGACACATCTCATTGTTTTTTGTCTCTTAGCAAGCCATAACATCAACACAATTTTGTATTCGCCTCCGGGGGAGTAAAATGTCAGTGGCAATGCAGATTAGGGCCAGATTCAAGTCCAAATATTGCTTCTTTGAACACAGGCTGGCAAATGCAGTCTGATGGTTTGATATATGGAGACAAATGAAAGGAAGACGTGACACAGACAGACACACTATCGGACAAAAGTGTAGCGAGTGTGGACTGTACCAGGCTAATTGTCACTATGTAGTATTACAGAGGGGAGTAGTGACTGAGAGCCCTAATGGAATAACACACATCCACACTGGTGTGGCCACTTAAACAGACAGAGGCGCGTGTGTACGTGTGAGTGACCACTGGCCAGATAATGATGACCCATAATGCATTTTGTGGCTACAGGGGCTGTGGGCACTCTCAACAATAAGACCACACATATGGTCGAGATGGATAGGTTGCATGGGCAAAAAAAAAAAAAGAAAAAAAATACAGGCAGAGGCATAAAAGGGCGAGAGGGTGGGGTTGGGGGTAGTGTGGAGAGAGCATGTTTGTGTCAGAAAATGAGACAGGCAATGAGGTAACGAGAGATGGAAAAAGAGAAAGTGAGACTGAGAGTAGAGGAAGAGAGAAGGAGTTACCGTCTTACCATGTCAATGAGGCTCTCCTGGATCCGGTTCAGTGTGGTTCTCAGTCTGCTGCTGATAAGACCCAGGCCTGATGACTCATACTGTAGGATACACACACACACACACACACACACACTTAGTGTCTGCACTGTGCACACACACATTCCTCTATAAAAACACACACTTTAGCAGAGTGTGAAAGCATGCACGCACACAGCAACATCTGCTCTCATCTCACGTAGCCGGAGACGAGAGAATCTCTTTACTTTCTGCTTCTAGTCGACTCTAATCCAAAAGAGGGAGGAGTAACTGGGAGGAACAGACATCAAAATCAGACAATCACACTGCCTACAGTAGTTGACAGACGAAAGGTAAACGAGAATGGTGGAGAGGGTGAAAGCACAGCAAACTCAACAACTAAATGCTTCCAAAATCAATTTCAGATGTGCTGAATGTCACTTGAGAAAGCAAATCACGCACACCCTCAAGGGCTTCAGATCAACCACACCACACAAGTGTTCACTAGTATATTGGACAAAAGGCAGGGGACAACCTTGTGTATTCAAAATAATACTTCCGGAGATCTACTCTTACCAAGCAAGCAGGGCCCACCACCCTGGCAGTGCCCGCCTCTCTGCCACCATGTGTTGGCAAAGACGGGCTTGGGACAGGCTATGGGTGACAAATGGACAGCAGAAAATCGCAAATTAAAAATAATAACACAGTAGAGGAAGTATTACATAACTGAAGGGGGAAAAACATAAAGAAAGAAGCAAACAAACAGATTTAGATGAATTGAAGTAAAGGGTAGAATTACTAGTGTTGAACGATTTTGAAAAAACATCTAATTGCGATTATTTTGACTGATATTGAAATTGCAAAATGATATCAGAGGGAATGATTGCGTTTATATCATTATTCTCATTTTCAGTGGAAAAAAACATGAACATGAATTATGGTGCAATTTTTGCAGGGATCTGAACCAAACAAAGATGTTTCTGAAGTCTGTAGAACATGATGTGTGTGCCAGGACATCTCTGCAGCACGACAATGCTTAATTTAAAATGCTATTTTGACACACATTTTGCCCTTGCTGATATGAAAATTGCAGTAGGCCACATTGCGATTTTGACAAGATTTCAATTAATTTTGTTCAGCCCCATCCTGTACATGTCTCCACTATTCTTGCCTCACATTGAAATGGCCTTTAATGCAAGAGCCACAACAAAACTGTTCTAACTTATCAGAAACTGCCAGGTAAGGTAAAGAAAATCTAAGTGTTGTTGAACTTCGTTAGCAGGACAAATGGTAGCTTCCTCATTTGTGTCCAAACATTAATTTGCACTTGTTCTGAAAAGGAAACATACTTCTAGTTCTACAATTTCTCAGATGTGATAAAAAGCTTGGTGACGTTTGACAGTTAAGTATCACTTAGGGACTCTAACAGCAAAGAGTTCAAAGCTTCTTGATAGTCAACTTCAAATATGTTTTAAAGCTTTCAAGTTGGATTTACTATTTTTAGAAACTTCCAAAATAGCTCTTGAAACATTTTGATATAAATGGGGTCTCACATCTCAATTCATCTTATGTAGGGTGGGCAGGTTTAAAAAAGAGAAAAAGAGAAAGGGACACAACACAATAGCTGCTGTAGTCTACCACAATACAGGTGACATGTATAGGTCCACATACTGCGCCCTGTACAAATGTGTGCACATGGTAAAACGATAAGGCAATATGGTTTTAATTAACACATTAAAAGGCAGCATCCCACTGGTATTGCACATAAAGTTCTGTTTACTTATTTCAATTAATACTACACAGCCTGTGAAAAGTTGTATGTCTTCTGTGTCTCTGGAAAAAATAACCCTAACTACGTCACAGATGACGACATCATGATAACATCAGGGTTATCTTGGCATGCGACTGAAAACTTGTAGAAGAAGCTAAATTAAGAATGAGACGTGGGGTTTGAAAGACGTGGGCGTTCAAGAGGTAGGGCGAGTCTAATGAACGATGCTATTGATTACCATGGGAAATTGAGGATCAAGCGTTTTTGTGGCATTTTGACCCATACTAGAGACTAAAAGTCAGGATATCTCAACCTCTGCTGCTTGTATTTTGACCATTCTTTTTTTTGTCCTCCAAATTTAGAGAAGTGCAATACTAAACTGCTGGATCACCCCTTTACTTACCTGGCCCTCATACTAAGGGAGTTAAATAACTTTGCATTAGAGGGAGAAATTGTTACTCCTAACTAACCTGGCTACCACTGAAGGACCAGTCCCTTATATTATAATCTTAAGTCATCCTGGCTCACAATTATCTTACGGAAGATAGAAAGAAGTGAATATTTTATTTTATATCACAAGTCACTTTAATTGTGTAAAGAACGTTGACTTGCGCTTGTGCATGAAGAAATGTCAGTGGGAGTCTGGAGTCGACAATGAAAAATAACTATTTCTTGCATTACTTCTCATTTTTCAGAGAAGCCATCTATTTAAGTGTCAGATACTTTCCTGATCTGCTCTCTCTCTTTCCCTAGCCTCGTCACTTTCCTACTTCATTGTTTTGGTAGCCAACCTCTCTCCTCCCTTCTTTCTGCATTATACTGAAAAACAGGGAGACAAAGTACGCAGACTTCCATCCTTATCTTCCCTCCATCTTTCAATTCACACTCCTCTCTGGCTCTTTTTCTTACTACATTCGTCTGTCTCTTTTTAGAACACACTTCAGTGAAATATCCAGGTTAAACCCACGGGGCACAGCTTTCCATAATTTTGAAAGATTAATCACTTTTTAAAAAAACTGTTTGTAAATCTGCCTCTCCCAGCAGCAGAAAGCCCAGTTATTAATGGCAATGGAAAATCTGTGAGCACGACACACAATGCATCTTTAGCATATGTGTGGCAGAGTCAATAGTGCAGTTCAACTTAACAGCGCCAATATACACAGATAATGGGGTATTTACCCTTTTGAATATTAATGTCACCCATTACTCTTCAAGTGGAGAAGTCAAGCAGCTCCTTCTTGATTCCATCAGTGTGAAGAGAGCAGAGCCTAGGTCAAAATACCAGCGTATGTGTATAGCAATTTCCATAAGCTATTTAAAGATTCATAGGGACATTAGCATTTTACTTTTGGTGCCTCTTTGAGTGAGACTATTCGTGAAATGTGTGGGTTCATGAAATTACACTTAATGAGGACTATAGGTACAGCGGTGGAAAAAATGAAAAAGTGAGAGTTTGAGAGGGATGAAGTCAGACAGACAAAGAGAGTCACAAAAGTAGAAAAAGTAGAAGGGGTGAACGACACGTGATACTATGTGAAAGGGGCAGAACATGTAAGATGCTGTGTGGCACAAAAGATGAAAAAATGGGTGGGATGCAGCAGAATAGACTGAGAAATAATATACAGTATACAATATACAGTATGCGTAAAGAAGGAAAAGAGAGTTTCAGACAAGGCAGATGGTGATACGGAGAAAGACAGACAACATGTACCCGCAGTGGTCATTTTAAGAAACATGAGAAAAGTGACCACTCGGCAAGTTGTCAATTTACAACCAGTGTGTCACCAACCGTCCCCTATCTTTCCATGGCTCACACAAACACCAATAATCTGTATCAGAGTGGCCCCCGCGGAGCGCTCATCCTCTCTGTCTCTTCCACCTCGATGGGACAAGAGTCATTTTGTTGCTATCATTATCACTTCCCTGAGGGCGACACTGACACAAATGCGGTTTTCTTTCTTTGTGAAGCGCAGTATAAATGAGATAATAGTTGTTAGATGGAGTGGAGGAGACTAGGCCCGCAGACTGTAACATATCTTTAAGCTGAAACTTTTACAGAGACAGACAGCAACGAGAAAAGATAGTTATTCTCCATCTCACTGTAAATCATCTAATGAACATGAAGAAATCCATCTTTAGAAATAAATGCAGGCAATTTTCTTAAAAGCATCACATCACAAATGCAGCAGAAGTAATACTATTTTTTAGTCGCAATGTAAGGGATGATGCACATCAAAACACCTGTGCCTATTGTTCGCTTATTCTTTTGTGTTTTATATTTTTGTGGAGCATTGTATGCTTTTATGTAAAAAGGGGAGAGAGATGGGAAACAACAGATGGGACTCAGATCGGAGATGACTGTTGGCACCTTCACCCTCTTAGCCACCAAAGCAACCCAACTGCTTCCCTATGTAATTACACACACCGGCCGCATCTCAATACTCATACAAACATCAGGATACGCCACTGTTCTATTTCCCAAAGTCAATGCGTGTTTTACAGTATGGTGACCATGGAGACAGTCAGACATGTAAAAACACAAGGTTTTGCTGCAGATCTTCTTTGAACCCAAAGAGGCCAGTGCCAAGTTACCTTCATCCAAAATCTAGTGTGAAGTTACTCTAAAGCATGCTATGAGTATGTGTCTGTGTTTTGCTTGTTGCTCTTCAACATAAATATACAGTGTGTAATCAAACAGCAGGATAGCAATTCAGAAATACTGTACCATGTCATTTCGTCCAAAGAAGGTGTATACAGCGTACAGGTAGTAGTCAAAGAGCTGTGACACACAGTGGATGACATCAAAGGCGATCGGCTTCAGAATGTTCATCATCTGCATATACTTCCCTGTAAGGAAATTGCAGAAAATAAAACGTTACCAGAAGTTTTTTGAGCTTTGTGTGTTCCTGGTTGCGTAGAAAGGTTTGATACCATGGACACCCATAAGCGTTCTTTTAACCCAGTATCAGTTTACAATGAATGAAATGGTTTTGTTCTTAAGTAAATCTTTTAGGAAATCAAAGGAGTCAAAGTACAGATAAGTTAATCATGGTGGAATCACATACTTTAGGGAACTTCAGCAGGAACACATTGCATTTGCATATGCTCGAGGGCAAGGATTTCATTAAGCAAGAAGGTAATAAAAGCAATAAGTACAGAGGTACAGGGGGTAACAAGGTTACCATTGACTCCCAAATGATGAATGGAGGGGAAAAAGAAGAAATAAACTCAATCTAGCTGGCTTTGCCACTGAGACATAATTATTTCTCTCACACTCTCATTTTTCACGCCCTCTCTCTTGTATTCTGCACAAATTAACTCAGGGGGCAATCTAACTCCATCAAAGAGCTGAGAAGACTGAATTAGAAGTGATTGCTTGGAACCAAACTTGGGCTTTTTACGCAGTTTTGACAATTTAAATTTTGCCACATGGCTCTAAATCAATATTACCAATTGTGTGAAAAACAATTTTTTCTTGTACAGTATGAACAAAAAAAGGGACCGTTTAAACCGTTGAAATGAAAACGACATTTTTTTATTGTTTGAAATGTCAAGAATAACAGCAGATCTGTTATTACAGTTATTAAATTAATTCAAGATTCAATTCAGCCATACAACCACAGAGGAAAGATAACCGCCTCGTCTAATTCATTTTCACACATGAAAATCACATTATGGGGGTCACATCGCCAAAGGGTACGCAATGCCAAGGAAGGGCCCCAGTGTCTTCAAAGCCATGCCACAAAGCACCTCTTTGAAAGCGAACAGTCAGGGCGAAAGGCGAAGGCTAACCATTATTAGTGCAGCTCAGTCACACAGGTAGAAGCAGAGACGTGAGCATGCTAATCCCTATGAGCTGCTGGCTAGATGAATAAATGGAAATCTCAGCAGGCTAGAGAGGACACTCACTGTGGCCTGCTCCCAGGGAGAGGTAAGAAGTGGAGTGTGTGTGTGTGCGTGTGTGCATGCGTGCAGGACTTACCGACAAGCCGAATGACGTTCAGGGTGGTGTTGGTGATGATCGGTGCATTGGTCTTATTTAGGTTGTAGTCTGACTTTTTCTTACTTCTTATGGTCTCTCGGGACGCACTGACGCATTCAGAATGTGGGGGTGAGAGAGAAAGTAGGGCAGAGTCATGAGAAAAGGAAAGACTCAGTAATATATGTTAACATCACTAATCCTCGGCAATGATTGGCCAGGTTCAAAATCTCATTGAGGGTCAGAGCCTTGTAATTGATCAATCAGAACCCTTTACACAATGCAGGAAACACAGAAGGACCCCAGTAGTGAAGTCTCTGAACTGGTGATCCTGGAGCACCAGACCCCTGACACTGATCATTGAGCCATATTAGCCAGCTATCATTACATGGGCCTTTCTAATTTCTGGATGTGACCACACGACCCATTCAATAATAAACTATTAGTGATTCTTGCTTAAAAGAGAGGGAAATTTGCATTTTAGTTACTATAGGCTAATGTCAGGTTAATGCAAGTGGGGAGCAGGATATCGAATGTAGCGAGAATTAAAGCAGAAATATCAGGCGTGTCAGGCCTGTGAAATAATGACACTCAACACGGAGCACAAACATCACGATACCATTAATAAGTCATTGCAGATTACATGACAGGAAATGGTCATTAAAGCAATGCTTCTGTAATGAGGAGCTACTGAATTAGTAATAGTATTATATGTCTTGTTCCCCGTGCAAATCCGGTGTAAAATTTGATGTGAGCTCTCAGATATGCACAAGTACACATACAGACACAATCCAAGGTTCTCAATAATTTAGTCCAATACATACACACACAGTCGGTTTACTGACAAAAACACTACGAAATGAACAAGGATGGTTATAAAATTCAAAACTCAATACCGCTGCATCAAAAGCACCCAGATTTATGTGGTTATTTATGACGCACACTACGTCTACTTGAGAGGATGACATAAATAATTACAGCTATGACATGCTAATATGGTAATTGTGTGTATTAATTATAGGACTTCCCTGATAATAAAAATAAACAAAATGCTAAATTCTCTTTCAAATGAAAATTAATCTTTTTACACGAGGTGCAGAGGAGCGTATGATTTCCTCTGTCTTTATAAAACAGCGACTAATCTTTCAGTAGTCCCCAATCACGAAGGCGGAGGTGGGGAGAAAGAGAATTTTTCAGTTTTATATAAGGTTTCTGCCTCTTTAGCAGGGTTATGCAGAGGTGAGCTAAAATTATCAGCGCTGAATGCATAAAAAGTGGTGTAATGCATGACTTCACATCCTTTTAGAACCTCCATAAAAAGATTCAAGGACATATGGTTTTATTGATTTATTTGTGATTAACATTCTTTGTCTGCACATGTTCACTAACTTTCACAAATCTGAAATAGCGAAGAGTAGAAATTATGGACACCTGGATAAACCATGTACGTTGACGTGTCATCCCTAGAGCTGTGCAATTTGGAAAAACAATTTGATTTGGAACTGACCTCTTGTGGGGGACATCGCCCGTCTGCTCGTCAACGTAGTCCTGCTTAAGCTCCTCAGGGACATCACTGTCGCTGTCATAATCTTGATACACGCTCTTTTCCAGCTCATCTGACTCGTACTTGACAAATTGGGGAGAGAAAGATCAGATGGAAGTCACGAAAGACAAAGGGCAAGTGCAAAGAAGAGATACAGTACAAAGGAAGTGAGAAGATAAACACAAGTGAAACATTGTTGCCATGCCGTGAAACTTTGCTGACACTTTACATCAGGTGTGAAATAAAATGGGCTATAATTAAATTATCTGAAATATTTTTGAAAAGAAAATGTTACAACTCCATCTTTTAGCTCTAATGGGTGCATAACCATGAAATGACTGGTTTGAGGAAAAACAGAACGGAACATTCGTTCACCTTACAGAGGAGAGTTTGGTTCAAGCTCACCTGAAATAAGACAATATTTCCTTTGTCCTTAACTGCAAGCTCAGGCAGCACAACAGCCATATTGAAAGGATTACAAGCTTAAGAGCAAGCCAAGCTTGGGTTTCTGTAAGCCTAATATGTTATATAGTGCATTATTGCTTTGGATTGGTTGAGCCTGAAAAGAAGATATATCAATATTATATATATATATATATATATATATATAATATTAAAAAAAGTGTGTGATGTGTCAGGGAACCTGTGTAATCTCCATTCAAGAAGAGAAATATTGTTTCTTTAACAAATAAGCCATGAAGGCACAACAAACCGATATTGGGCTTTATAGCAGTCATAGAAGGAGCTTATATAATGTGTATAACATGGATAGTACCAGGCAATATTCTCTACATCACTGAATCTATGGTGTGGATATCTGGTTGAACCCTATAGAAGCCTTGACTTCTCTCTGTCTTATGGTGTCACTACACCTTAGTCTGTTATCAGAGCTCAGAACAGCCATTTGAGATTTACAAGTATTTAAGCACAGAAGTTATTATTTCACATTTTATAACGTACAAAGATGTCAAAAGTGGGTCTGTATGAATCTACTGCTGAGAAATGCAACAAAGAGAGGCAGTGGTTCAGGCTGCCACTGCTAGCAGCGACTCTGCCCTACAGCAGAAGTGCAGCAGTGTCTACGAAGCGATTTCTACTCTGCAATAACAATTTGCCAGTAACCACCATGGTAATGCTGATGCATGTGATAACAGGCTTGAAACTTGCCTCAAGGAACAAGGGGGCGCTGACTTCAGATAAGCGCAGCTGCTAACAGTACATTGCTATTGCACATACAGTGGGATGTTTATTGATTCTCCTCTTACTTCTTAACCACACAATAGTAGCCACTGTCTGTCCGTTGTTAATATAATCTATCGTGCAGTACCTATTATGATTTCAGATTCAGATTTGTCAGCCAAGCATAAGCGCTTACATTCACTAGACAAGAGGATTACACTCCCTCTACAAATCTAGCTAGGCTGGTCTTTTGGTTTCTGAAGGTGCAGTTGCACAAAGCATACTAAGATAGATGCTCAGCCAAACAGGCATTTCAAGAAGCAAAATAACAATCTCTCCTTTCTGTTAATTATGTATGGCCTATAAAGTGAGAGGCCTGGTAGTTTTACTAGACAATATAGAGTGACAGCAACACAGCATATTTACCACAAAACACAGAGTAGAGTGTTCTTATAGTCATGGCAGGTTCTGCTGGCCCTACAGCGCTAATAAAAGTTTGTTGCGGCCCTGTTGATGACAGTTTGAAGGCTGCTGTAAACCACTTAATGACCCACAATGATTATGTCCCACTTAACCAGCTTGTCTCTTTATTAACTTGTTTGGTGACGCACCTCAATGAGTAGCATTATTAATTAGACATACTTTTGTAAATATGACTGGTGGAACAAATGAACAACTGATTCAGCAGTGGCACTTACCCCGTTAGATGCCAGCACATCCTCAGTCTCCTCCTCTTTGTGCTCAGCATGCATCTCAAAGGGGTTCCCGTCCTGAAGGTACTGCTTGAACAGAGACAGCTCCTCCTGAGCCGGGCTGGTCGAGGACACGGCCTGTCTGCTTGGGGAAACGGACGGAGAACGACACTGGCCCATGAACTTAAACTCCTGAATTGGAGAAGATGGGGCAGAGACACACAAGAGACGGATGTAGGTTCATGTTTGGTCAAGCCATTACCAATGATACTATGTTACAAAAAGTCTACAATATGCAGTATAACATTTTACTAACTATGTATATGTCTGCATTTTCAAAGCAGCAATTGTGATTAGGTCGAAAACAGTGGTAGATTGAAAATACAGTGTGACATCTATGAGCAGGTGCAGGTGCATGTTCCCCTGGAAATAGCATGGCCAAAAGGCAAAAACACAAGTGGGCTGCCTGCTTGCAAGGCAATACGCTTTTGCTTGCATCATTTCTTTAGGCTGAAGATGGTGTTAAGTATCAAACCTTCCAGTATATTTTATTTATTGGGACATGCTCCAAGTTCAGGAACTGAAATCATTTCAAATGGATCCTGTGTCAGAAATGGTGTGTAGCGTTTGGGAAGAACTTTAGAGATAAAAACGGCTGCAAGTGCCGACGCCGATGTGAGGAAATGCCTGCATGTTCTGTTTGACAACAGATTAAAGAACCAAAATTTGGGTACAATTGCAACAATATGAAGAATACTTAAAAAAATGAATTTCAAGAAAAGAAGAAAAAGAATTTCAGTGCACTGAAAAATACACTTTAACCCATTTTCAGTTGTATATTGTTAATGGTTTCTGGATATTTTGTTATATAACAGGCCACTCTTTTGGAAAATTGCCACAGTGTCTAGAAGAGTGTCTAATCTAATAATTCATATAACTAACTGTAGCACCTTTTGGCATTCAAAAAAGCCAAAGTTTAATCTGTTTTTTTTTGTTGTTGTTTTTTTTTTTTTAGGTCAGCCAGGCATAAATGCACATTCCCTGTTTACCATACAGCAATGTAGACGTACAAACTTCTCATGACAGTGGGTTTATTATGAAGATTCTTTGCCATGTGTTTTTGTTGTAGAATGTGCCCAAGCAAGACAGGCATGAAGGGAAAAACAAGATGTATGAAAATCTGACTTTGAATTAACACCATTCATCTTTCTGACATCTCTTTCTTTCCATTTATCATTTCTGCTTCTAAGTGAAGAGAGCTGAACATGTTGCGAGCACAATGATCTTTTCTTTGAGTTGGTTACCTTTGTGGTGGTTATACATGATCTATACATGGCTTTGGTATTGAAGGTTTATTTTTATAAAAAATTTATGTTACTTTTGAGTGCAGGGAATTAAAATCCTACACACCACAAAGGACAACAGCCTTTTATTTCCATCTATGTTTTTTAATGTGCAGTGACCTTTACTCCTCTATGTTGATACACAGGCTGACACACTTGCACACACACACACACACAGAGAAATGTTTCATATAAGCAAATATCACAGTGGTGGGGGGCGTGCGATGAATGAGGGTAGAATAAATGAATGCTGCCAAGCTTTGTTTTCTCGCCTCAGTGATGTGATTCTTACTCACGTGGAGCTGGGCGATGTTAAAGTTAGACTTGACCGGACACAGTTCCCATGTTTCATTTTCCAGAAACATCCTCAGCTCTTCCAGCCGTGCCCTAAGGGGTTGAGGAAGAAGGATAAGGAGTGGGGATGGAGTACAAAAGGACAAGAAGAACAGTTAAAAAGTTAAAAGAAAAACTCAACATCTGTCCATTACTGACCTTAAGCCATTTTGTATATTCAAGCAGCGTCTAGATTAAATGTGCTGACACAAAAAAAGCCTGCAAAGGTCACTGACGCATAGTTTGTGTGTGTGTGTGTGTGTGTTTGTGTGAGTGTGTGGTGAGGGGTGTTTGATATGTTTCACAGCTCAAGACAGCCACCCTGGTGCTGGGTCAATATCAGGTCTTTCTGTGTGAAAATGTCCGAGCAGTGTTGACTTCAAAAACTGCAGTACCACTAGTCACTTGTCTTAAAGGCGTTTGACATATAAGAAGCGAAGGAACATGGAACTGTGGCGAGAGACAGGGAAGCCTTGTGGCACAAAAATAAAGATGGGATATCAATTGCAACGACTTCAACATTGTACAGTATGCTCAGTGAACTGCCATTTCCCTACAGTTAGATTCTTTAAAAGGACTCCTAAATGACATGAGATGAGAGTTTAGCTTACATAATCCCACATTTCAAATTTGGGTCTATCTGAAACATTTACTCAATTTTTTCTGTCTATTTAGTATTTACTATTATTTATGTTATTTTAAAAAAAAGTAAAATAATTCAGTATTTTATATGACAATTGCCTTTATGCATCTGTGATAATGTTGAAAGGTCAATACACTAAAAAATAAACAATGCATAAAGGATATTAAAACATCACAATCACTCAGAGAAAATTAGTAATGAACATACCATCAAAAATGACCAACGGTGCAGCTCTTAGATATTTATCATGTCTGAACCCTGACAATGTCATTCACCTTTTCACCCGCAGGCCAACAATACATACATCCAACGAAGGTTAAAATCAAGGGCAACTGGACTTGGTTGAAGATACCGGAAGACGTTTCGTCCCTCATCCAAATCCAATACCTACTGTTCGATTCCCACCACCCACTGGAGCACAAGCTAGGGGTCATGAGAACACTGCACCACGGAGCGGAAAACATACCAACAAGCGCCCAAGCCAGAGAGAAGGAACAGAACCACCTGAAGGGGGCACTTACAGCCTGTGGATACCCTAAATGGACCTTTGTGAAAACAGCCACAAGATCCAAAAAGAACAAAACTACAGGGGAGGAGGAAAAGAAGGTCAAACGCAACAACATTGTGATTCCATACGTGTCTGGAGTATCAGAGAAACTCATGAGGATTTTCAACAAACATAACATCCCTGTGTTTTTTAAACCCAAGAACACACTAAGACAGATGCTGGTACACCCCAAAGACCGCACACCCAAACACAAGAAAAGCAATCTAGTGTATGCGGTCCAATGCAGTGAGGAATGCACAGACCTGTATATTGGGGAGACTAAACAACCACTACACAAACGCATGGCTCAACACAGAAGGGCCAACTCCTCAGGTCAAGACTCTGCAGTCTACTTACATCTGAAGGACAGAGGACACTCGTTTGAGGACCACCAGGTGCACATTTTAGACAGAGAAGATGGATGGTTTGAAAGAGGTGTCAAGGAAGCCATTTACACCAGGGTTGAGAAGCCGTCATTGAACAGGGGAGGGGGTCTACGCCACCACTTATCCCCCACTTACAATGCTGTCCTTTCATCACTTCCCAGGAAACTCAACAAACGTAACCTATTGGCCTCAGGTGAAGATACCAACGATGGTCGTTCAGTCTTGGCCACAGGTAGTCTTAACGACTGTAACGACTGTCGTCACAGTCAGAACTGAAGAAGTCCTTTGGATGAGGGACGAAACGTCTTCCAGTATCTTCAACCAAGTCCAGTTGCCCTTGATTTTAACCTTTGTTGGATAACTATGACCTGGATGACTGAGAATCTTCATAGACAATACATACATCACGATAACAGAGTGTGTTACTGCAGACAGGTAACAGACAAATACAGGCATCAGCCAGTCAAAGTTCACTGACGGTGCTGGGGGGGGGTCCGCTCACCGCCATCTCATCACCTCCAACCTCGAGACATATCCCATCATGCCTCTGTGCTTCCCTCCTTTTCCATTTTGCGCCACAGAAAGGAAGCTTATCAGCAATCTAATATTTAAGAATCTTATTGATGATTCCTGACAATCAGAACACTGATCAATGCAAACCACCTCTGATGATGTGGCACTGTCTGTGTGAAAGCATACATATTCATGTGGTTGGCAGGGGGTTATGTAATCAAGATGTAAATGTGCTTCCAGCTCAGTGAGTGTTACTGTGTAATTGCACGTCTACTTCAAAAACAGGGTTTCGCTGGGAATAGAGCATGATGAAGGCAGCCAATGGTTGTGATTGTGTGTAGAAGTTTCAAGCATGATAACCAGCTATCCAAGAATTATCTACTTTCATCTCAACAACTTTCTCTCAGTAAAATCGGGGCACTGTCAGGGACATCAGATCCATGCACTCTATGTCTAACTGTTCACACACAATCAATCCCATCAACCCTGTGAATGAACGGAAATCACATCTAGGTGTCACATGATCCAGGTAATGATCCAGAAGCAATGGGTACATTTTACCTGTGATAGTTTTTAAAGTAGTTGACGCTCTGGCGTTTGATGGACTCCTGCAGGACCTCTGACTTGCTGCCGCAGAACTCCTCCCCCACCTGCATCAACCTAGAAGAGAGGGTTGAAGGATAGTGGGACACATTATGACAGAGACAATGATGAAGGAAAATACTGAGAAGGTGAAAGCTTGTAGCGAGAAGACCTGGACTCTTTGATGGCTGCCTATTAAACCTTTAAAGCCTTGATAATAACTTTATTCGCAGTGCACATGCACACAATGAGGCAACCATTGTGAATTTGGACTACTGTGCTTCTGCATAAACTATCCTTAAGGTCACAAATGTAGAAGTGATTTTCTAAATTTGTTGTTCATATTATTTTATCATTCAATAAAGGGAAAAAATTGTTCAAGAATAAAGAAACAGCCCTTTATCATGAAAGTCTCTGGAGGATGATCACTGCGTATGTTTGACTGACAGCTGAGCCAGCGGGGGCACAGAGACAAGATGTCAACTGACTTTATCTGGTAACTGTAACTTGCCTGTCAAGGGACAGACAATGTACTTTTACCAGTGGTATTGAAGAAATGGGGCCACACAACGCTGCAACTATAGTAAGCAATCCAAGTTTGACATTTTCACAACTTACTGTAACCTAAACAGTGGCTTTATTAGATCAAACACTGAATGTAAATTTCTCCCTTTTGGGGATGGATTAGTCATTAGACATAAAATTTACAGAACAGATTAACATGATCCTCACATAATTTCTTGAAAACATATACTTTGTGTATACAGTGTATATATATACACACACTGAATATTTATGTAGAAAGTTACTGATTCTGTTTTTACTGCATCTGTTCTTTTACTTTGCTCTGAGCTGCTATGTCAACCTAAGTTTTCCTAAAACCCTCAAAATTACTGAGCACAGACTACAATCCTACATACAGTAACAATAGGCCAAGCAACACACAGTTTGACCACAGTTTAAGAAATGTAATGAAGGTGTGTGCACTTCCTATTTGAGTATCACATTTTCATGATCGGAGTAAATATAATCAAAGTGGGGTGTTGAAATGGGCTAATGAGGACTTTCTCAGAGAGAGTATGTGTGTTTGCACAATTTGAGTCAGTTAGTGAGTAAATGACAAAGCAAATCAGTGCTGTGGGAATTAAGGGGGAAAAAGAGAAAAGAAGACTGCATCTGAGAGAAAAAAAAGCAAGATAATGAAGACCAATAAGTGGTTGAGCTGGCTGCTCAGGACCAGCGGAGTACCTGCTGATGACATCCAGAACCACTATGAAATCATCGTATTTGAAGTTTGACATGTCTGTCCCCAGGATGTAGGCCTTCACTTTCAACTGGACATCCTAAAGAGAGAAGTGAGAGGGACAGGGCGATTCATGGCGAGAACTTGCGATTGAGAAACTCTCGAGTTGAACAGGAGGTGGGGGGGTAAATGAAAAGAAAAACTAGGGGCAGAGAGGGAGGAAGAGACATGGTCAGATCATTCAAAGAGAGAGAGAGTACGCTATTTTTTCCAACCTGCCAGATCCGTGTCAGTCCGTGCTCCAGCTTCTTCTTTACATAGCTACGGTCCACCACCAACTCATCAGACTCCGCTGCCGCTGTATCATCTAGGGGTATTCAAAAAAGCACAAAGACTGATTCAAAACTAATAACAGGACTGATAAAATTCTATTACTTATCCATCTTATTTATCTATTGTTTGACTGTCATTTCAGCATGACTCAAAGGATTTAATTTACTTATTTAAATGGATATCTACACATTGATGCATGAGCAAACTGCATCTGAATCCGTACAAAAGTAAAAAAAAAAATACTATTCTTACAGTTGACGAGGAAGCAAATGAAAAATATCCCCTTGATAATGGTGAAATATAAATTCCTCAGGTGCATTTTAATACAGACGGGGAAATGTGTAGTTGAGCTGCAGATCCGACATGCTTGAACATTGTCAAAAGTCCTTCATTGTTTGTTTGACCATGTGTACATCCGGAATTCCAGCGGAAGACTCTCTACTTTCTGTGGTTGTCAGTCCGAATCTGACAGGGTGAAGGTCACAGAGTCACTCAAGAGAGGTAAGACTGATAGTGACTTAGAACACAACAGGACAATACTGGATGACACTTAACGTGTTTGTTCGCTGTCAGGCAGTCATAAACAAAGCCAACATCTCCAGAGAATGCGGTTCCTCTAACATCAGCTCACTATCTACTCCTTAGTGCGTGGGCGCTTCATTTTTCTTCTCACCGATCAGACTGAATACCGTGTGGTGCAAACACTGCAGAGGCTACAATGTCATTGTAGCTGCAATACTTTCGTTTGGCTGATGTGTTGCTTTTGTTGTGTAATGTGTGCTTGTAATGCCCTTCTCAATGTATCCAGAATATTACATATTCGTTGTTCCTTGTTCTTTTCACTTTAAGATAATATTAACTTTGGTCTGCAGAATAAGAAAAATATCAACACCTGGGATCTTTTATAACATGAGGTGTACTTTTTTTACCCTGTTAAGGAAATTCTATATCGTCCAATTTCTCCACTCTACAGTAAGGCCAGCTGCCTGGGTCAGCTGCAGGGGCTCTCTTCCTTGGGATTTAATGTCTCAAAGATCTGTTAAAAAGGTAGCTGCTTGTAGACATGGAAGCCTCTGTCCTGGCTCTCTTTGTAGGAAGGAAGGCCTTCCTACCCACCAAAACGAAACACAATCTTATCAATCCTTATGTAATTAAGTGGTATATTTCACTTTCGATTAATCAAATCCAGTATGTCAGGGTCAATAATATCCTACAGGGCTGTGTATGAACATTCACCTTAGAAACTTTGATATTTTCAGATGACACTTATTTCCTCAGCCTACTGCACAAGGACACTAGCTCTTGGGGCTATTTCACTGAAATATAGGGTTGTGTGCAGTGGTGTGAAACCAACCATCTAATTTTAAATGTAAGAAAAAAAAACTGAGGAACCCATCAATCAGGTCTGCTCTTACAAGTACCTTGGCATTCACTAGGACAACACCTTTAGCTGGAAGACCCATGTTGAAAATGTGTGTTCTCATTTACAGCAGACTCAGAGCGTATGGGATAGATCAGAGGATTATGTGTTTATTCTACCAAGCTGTGTTAGAGAGCATAGTCAGGTAAGGGATGTCAGCATGGTATTAAAATCTCACTGTTCAGTTGAAGCATGCTTGTCTGGTACAGACCACCACAAAGGTTATGGGGAGGAAAGAACACCAGTCCCTCCAGTCAATATATGAACAGTCTGTTCTCAGTAAGCAAAGACAATACTGCCTGACCCATATAGTAGTATGAGCTCCTGGAAGACGATATATAGTACCCCTAATGTTTTAAAAACTCATTTGTGCCTGCCTCACTTAAAATTTTAAATAATGTAGCTTGAGGCTGTGTGTTCAATAGCTTCACTGTGTTCTTATAACTGGTTGTGTGTAATATGTGTAATGTACGATATGCATAATACGTGGTTGTGATTTGCCATAGAATGTGCTGCTTTGTTTATATGTTGTGGGTGGTTTTTTCGTTTTGTTTTTTTACTACTATGGAGGGAGCTAGCTATATCTGTGCAGCATTTGAAATTTCCCTAATTTCCATGGATGTTTTTCCCCAAGGAGTACATGTGCTCCCACATGATTTTTTTTAAATTAACAAACAATTTCTTACATACGTAACGATATGGCCAAAAATGTTATCATGATAAAAAGTTGCATATCTTTCAATATTGATAATCATCACAATAAGTAGCAAATCGTTATTTCTTTTGAGTTTAATGGGTGATGTTTGCTCCTGAGTGAAAGTTGAGGAAACCTGATGGTTAATTGTGGTTTAAACTCTTCTTTATGGTCACTTGATGCCAAACAGCAGATCACTTCACAAGTCTAAATTAGAACATTCAAAACAATTATGATAAAATCTTTGTCAACAAATATAGATGAGAAAAATCAGTAAGTCAAGTAAAAGCTTTTTTCAGTCCTTTTTTCTTTTTTTAACAAAATAAACATCAATAAAAAAAAAAAAAAGTCCTAATTCATGTATGATTCAAATGAATAAAATCAAACATTTATTGAACATTTATAGAACATTTGTTATAGAAAAAAATTACATTGCAATAATTGTTATATTGCCCAGCCCTACATACATATTTACACTCTGTGTGTGTGTGTGATATATCTTTTTTGCGCATGTAACAGGTTTGCAAAGTGAAAAAGCCCAAAGGGAGTTCCCCTCTTCTGCTCTGAACCGCTTGAAAACAGCTCGTTTGTAGTCCAGCACTTCACTTCCTTTACTTGTGACATCACAATGAAAACGCGTCATAAAGCTTGCCACGCAGCTTGCGGGGGTCAGGCACGCCCTCAAACCAGGCTAGTCTGAGCAGAGGCCCTTTGGCACGACTCGCCTTTGTTTGGTTTTCCATTGTAGAAATGTTGCACCTGTACCTGCTTCCAGGTACTTTTTTTCGAATCACCTCACCTCATTCGAGGTTCCAAGCGAGCTGAGGGATACTAAAATGTAATGTGAAAACACGACAGACTGCTGATTGGTCAGAGAGAATATTCACTATTCACTGCATCATCATTGCGCGCGCCTGACAGAGGCCAGCAACAGAAAGTTTTATATTTTTGTTTTCATATGGACTCATCACTAAATCCACTTCTGAGAAGTTTTGAGGTGAGAAATCAGCTGTGTAGCTTTCGAATATTGACAGTTTTATGAGAATTGATGGCGGAACAAAAGTGCTTGAATATTTTCAGAGTTGAGGAGCTCCGCAAGTGGCTGCGGGGGAAGTCTGCGCCAACCCGCGTAAGGAGCGTGTGAGGCCGGCCAGCCGCCCGCTCACAGAGCCCTCTGCTCACACAGACCGCTGCAGCAACAACAGCAGAGGAAAACACAGCTGGAAGGTTTTCATACCGCTCATCTGTCTTTACATTCTGAGGAATGTTGAAACATTTTAACTTAAAGAGAAAGCTGTGTGGATCGCTGGTTTGTGTGTCGCATTGAACATTACGTTGCGGCAGTTGTGTGTGGCGGCGCTATGACAACAAGCTACGTGCTATCTCTGGGTACTATCTGCACTGGAAAACGGAGCAGAGTCGAGTCTATCGATTTGCGCTGTGGTAGCATTTTTCGGCAAGGCAGCAGAGAACGTCAGAACAACGGCAACAGTTCAACGTTTAGTCCTGATGGAAAGATGTGGAACAATGATGTTGTGGACTTGTGAGTAACTTATACCATCTGCTAGGTTACGGTCGCAGTCTGAAGCGGCTTTGATTTGGATCACACTACCTTGTTTCTTACGACCCGCCCTTCTCTGCTTCTGATTGGCTAGTAGTCCTTACCTGGGAACTGCGCATGTGCAACTCCCAACAAAGATTTTGTACAAGTAAGATGCATCACTCTGTAGCTCAAGAACGGAGCGTACAACACATTGGGTGAAAAGAGGAGCTGCAGCAATGTGCAGTATGAGAAAAATATGGTGTTTTTAAAAAATTAAACCATGTAAACCTGTTCTGGTACAACCCCTAATTAAGATTTTGAACCTGAAAATGAGCATAATAGCACCTCTTTAAAACCCTGGTATATGGACACTCGGCCTGAGAATTAAATTTTTTTTTTTTTTAAATTTAAAGTTTTTTTTAAAACATGCACACAGCTTTTTAAAACACTGATCACTCATCAGATGAGTGAAAACATTATTGTCACAGAAAACTCTGATTGGCGCACTGCAGCTTGTATAATGTGGAACTACTAGTTTTTGAACCAAGGATGCATACACGATACAGCAGCACCACCCATGCCACTCTTAATGTAGACAGGATTACTGAACAATATTTTTAGTAAAATAGAACAAAGGGAATATATTGTTTTCAGGAAGAGGATGGAGAGAAGGAGCATGTATTGCACACTAGCAAAGACATCCTGGCTCTTGCTATATCTACATCTGTCCACTGCAGCTTAACTATCCACAAGCTGAATAAGCAACTGGTATAAATTAGTGTAATAGTAGCTTACTACTAGTAGCCTAGGGTACCTTGTAATGTTTACTCGCACACCATGCTCGTAAATAATTTTTCCTTGTTGCACATATGTATTTTTTGGGGCAAATGTGAGTGAAATATTCGCACAGTAGAGAGGAAAAGAATACTGATGAGAAAGACATTCAAGAGGCAAGAATTTCCAGGCTTCAGTCTTCAGTGTAAGGGCAATGAAGAAAACATAAATGTGTCATTGACAGAATATGCGCAGATCTTGTGCTTGAGGTCACACACACTGCCCTTCATTAACCATTAAACCAGATGATGTTTAGTCAGAGACAGGGAGCCAGGCATGAATCATGCGTAGTGTTTTCTTTTTCTGAAGCAGTGTGACACCTCAAACATACAAACACATAATTTAAGTCCGCTTTTCAATGTTGAAAGAACTCTTCACTCTTTGACAGTATTCCTTCATGGTGATATAGACAAAAAAGTTCAAAAAGCGTTGTTCACTAAGACTTTACAGAGGTTATAAAGGGAGCTGTGTGAAATCTGATAAATTGCCTCAAGTGATGTCACTTGAGTAAGCTCTGGCTGAGTTTACCAGACATTTGTAGTC